AGAGAGAGAGAGAGGGAAGAAGAGAGAGAGAGAGAGGGAGAGGGAGGGAAGAAGAGAGAGAGAGAGAGAGGGAAGAAGAGAGAGAGAGAGAGAGAGAGAGAGAGAGAGAGAGAGGGAAGAAGAGAGAGAGAGGGAGGGAGAGAGAGGGAGGGAGAGAGAGGGAGAGAGGGAGGGAGGGAGGGAAGGTTGCTGATATTATTATGATAAACGGAGCCACTGACCTGTGTTAAGCTGATTATTATCATGACCATGTTCCTCTTAATATTCAATTACCATCTCTAAGTGGATTATTATTCCACAGTGTTCATAACCTCATAATAAACCTTACACTATGAAGCCTGTTTCCTCACCTCTTGACATGCTAACAGATTTTATCATCCATTAGACTACCAGCAGCATCCAACTCAATGACCTAATGTACATAACACATTATATGTACATGTACATGTACATAGGTACAATGTATTAGGATTACTATTATTATTATTATCAATATTATTATTGTCTGTATGTGTATATCCTCATTCAAATAAAGTGACTATAAGTGAGAAATGAGTTCTCTATAGCTTGTGTGTAAACATTGATGAATGGTTTATAACTGCATGGATACTAGTGGGGCCACTAACTTTAATGGTGTCTCTGGTAGACTCAGCTCACAGCAACCTTACGTTGCATCCTGTCAAACTATCACACATGAACTTCTCTTTACCTAACTATATTTATTTAGTCTTTTTTCAATCTCTTTTAACAGTCAAATGCTTTTATTGGCTTTTTTTCAAAGCATATTTTTGTGAATTAGTATGATTATTGACCTGTTTGTATACGTGATTTTGTTTACTGTAAACAATAAATTGGATTGTTCCTAGAAGGTAAGCTATTTTAAAGGCTTTAATACCAAACCCAGTACATATAATGTTTCACCTAGTGACACTCATACATTGAGTGTATGCCATTTAGTTCTTCCAATGTCCAATCATTGTCACATCCATTGTCCATCGTACATACCTCTTGTCCATTGCCTATAGTCCATAGTCTTCTCCAGTGTCAGTGTTTTTGATTTGAATTGAATATCATCTTTGATCTGCCCTGTTTAAGTTTATCCCTCCCCTCTCTCTGTCTTCCTGAGGTTGTTTATCCTTTTTTTAAATTGTTTTTGAAATGTGGTCATACTACGACAGTAACATTAATTGTATATCAATGACCCGCTCCATCTGTCTCCTCTCTTTGTTACCGAGTGTGCCTCTGTTATATGATATGTTTACTACGATTGAAAGTCATCTCAAAGTCACGCTGTCTCTTGTAATACTATTAAGAGACTCCGGACATACAATAATTGAGGTCTCTCTCGTATGTCGTTTGGCCGACTATTTAGTTTACATGTGGCAGATGTTCCTCACGACTCCTACACTATGAAATGGTTTATGTAGCTGTTGCTGGCTTCATTTCTCTCTAGCCTAATCTCATTAATGGTGTCTCTGAACTCGCTCTTCCTGTTTTTCACTAAAATCCCCTTCGGCCTTCGTTTGCATAATTATAGTATAGTCCTGTTCTGTCGTAAACGCTAGCTCACTTTTATTGTTATTTTGTCAGTACTGTCTGCACACCTCTTTAGTCCACCAGGTGTAGTGTATTTAGCTAAGATCAAGGGAGGGCCTGAGGTTCTTACTTGAGTAAACAATCTTTTCACATTATTATTGTGTCCACATTACAGTAAAGGATCCATCTTCACTGGAAGAAGTACAATGACATTTGTGTATGGAGGGAGGAAGAGAGAGAGAGATGGGGGGATTTTATGAAATGATAAGATACAACACGTGCATACTATGTGTACATATTTGTTATTTAACTTCATGTGCTGTTATTCTGAGGTTATTGAGTTTGGTGGTAAATGCAGTGCTGAGTTGTTAAGGTTAAGGTTATAGCCATCAGACCTCAAAGATTGATTTGGTCTTTATCTACTTTTGTGGTGGAAGCCCAGCATACTCTGTTCCCGCCTTTTGGTAATTTTAAAACACTTATATATCTCTTCTCTTCCTCTCTCTCCCTTCCCCCCTCTCTCTCTCTCTCTCTACAGTTATCCATCTGAGCCAGTATTCCTTCAGCTACATCAAGAGCACTTACAATGGAAGAGGTTCAAGTCGCTGCTCACTCGTGATATTGTGGAAGAGGTGTTTGGTGAGCCACTTGCCAACAAACCGCCCTTTCTTAAAGGTCAGTGCGGCTGGTCAAAATCAAAGCCGCCACCTCCTTGCCCTGACTGTCAGTTTAAAGAATGTCTCTCGTCTGATATACCCTTGTGTTACCACGGACTATATAGGAGCTGTCACAAGGGCTGTTGTATTCTGGAGTACATACCACCTCACATTAAAATGCCATATAACCAAAGACTAGCTACCCATAGAACTCTACAAACATGAGAGAGAGAGAGAGAGAGAGATGAGTTATGATTATGTTATACTTTATTGTCTGAAGCTTTTAGAAAGAGTTAATAATAGTTTATGATTGTCATTGATCTTAAGCTGCCATCATGCACCCAAAAGAGAAGATTCTGCTACTTTATGTTGTGATAATGTTCCTCCCTTTTATACCACTCTGTTTGTTCTGACCTAAGCATAAAGTACAAGTTCTCACTCTTCAATTTGCTCCGTATAAAGAGTAAAGGATAAAGTATTAATTCAGTTACAAACCAGTGGCTTCTGGTTGTACTGTTTCTACAAGATGATTCGATAAGGAAGAATTGCAGTCAATATATATGTACTTGTACGTTTTTTAATTTTAAAATTGATTTCGTGATGGGATATTCTCTATCTGTCTTTATTCAGGCATGCATGACGATAGTAAAGCGATTTAATGTTTTGAGCGGCGTAAGCTTAAGCTGTGTAAATTCATATTCCTTATGTAGTAAATGCCTATTAGCTGGTTCAATGATCTTCATGTTACACTCCAACCACAGAAATGAGAAGCATCTCATATGTGAATTGATCATCATTGCAGTTTTAATGCATGAAGAGGAAATGGCGTCACGTGCTGTTGTCTGGCTTCGCTCTTTTATATACACTTGCTCGCGAAGTCTCTCATTTTAACAATCGCTTCTCCCACTCTCTCTTTTCTCTTTCTCTCTCTCTCAGTTCTGTTTCGCTGGTCGGAAACAGGCTATACCAACTGCTCAGCTTAACGAATCAACAAGAAAGCTTCTCTTAATTCCTTTAAACCAATCTACTTATTAACAATTTATTCTTTACTAAGCGACCAAGTACAAAAAATGGCCTGCGAAGTAGCTATGCTTAACCCACAGCTGGACATGAACACGCCAGTGGCTATTGCCGAGGGATTCTACAGCCCCCAGCACTGGAGCTCTGCAGCAGACATGAGCCCGCCAAACAACTATGCCAACTCTCCGATACAAGCTGCAGGATCGCCTAACAGTTGCGCCGCTCACAGTCCTTCGTACGGGCACTCTCCTGTTATGGCTGGTCATCATTCCCCAGTTCCTGCAGCAGCTTCTCTGTCTCCGGTCCATTCGCCTCCAATGATGCAACAGCTTGGATCTCCACACCACATGATCAAGCAGGAGGGAGATTTTGCATGTGCCGTCACTGCAGAACAGCAAATGGTAGCTGCCGTTTATGGAAAACCTCACCCGCCCGAGCTCATTAGTTCTAACATCTTCCCAGGAGCAGAGGGTAAGATACCTGCTTGTTTTTTGTTTGTGGAATGTTTTGTTGTGTCTGTTTGTTTGCTGTCTTGAGATAAACTAACGTGCAAAAGGGATTAAGAATAATGGCCATCTTTTAATATTCATTGTATAGCGGTCCTAATTATGGTCACAATAAATTGCATCAGGGATTAATGAATGATGGTTTTTTTTCTCTTTTTCTGTAGTTCCTTCATTCGTTGAAACAACACACTTCATTGAGGACTCCTACCCAGAGCTCTTTGGTGGTATGCAGCGTCTCAAACACGAGGGAGCATCACCTCCTCCTCCACCATACTCTGTCGCAGCTGCTACCAGCATCTATAACAGCCCACCTCACTCCGACAGGGAGTACACTCACTCTCCTTGCTCCCCTTATCTTGATCAGCAGCTGGTTGATGCTACACCACTCCAGTACGTCGGAGACTTCCCCACTCCAGTCCCTACTCCAGTCTCTAGCCTTGCCACTACTACTCCACTGGAGCACTTCCCACCAGTCGCTGATTTCACCACCTCCAACTGCGGTACTGCATGTACTTACACCATGTCTGCTAACCAGCAATACGGGATCAAGTCTCAGTACGATCTCCTCCCCACAGCTGGTCCTTGCATGCCTCAGGAGACAGCAGTCACTGGAGCTCAGGCTCAGTTCGATCTCTCAATGGCAGCAGCTCAGCCTGGCTTTATGCTTCCTCCTAGCTCTATAGCTCCTCATAGCGGCTCCTTCATGAGTCAGCCTCAACCTCAGCCTCCTGTCAATCCAGCTAAGACCGATGAGCAGAGGAAACCATTTGTTTGTCTTTATCCTGGCTGCACTAAGCGCTACCTCAAGCTCTCTCATCTCCAGATGCACATCAGGAAGCACACCGGTGAGAAACCTTACGTCTGTGAGCACGAGGGCTGCGGGAAACGTTTCTCACGCTCAGACCAGCTCCGCCGACACAGCCGCAAGCACACTGGAATCCGTCCCTTCCAATGTGAAGTCTGTCAGAGGAAGTTCTCACGATCCGATCATCTCAAGACTCACATGCGTACACACACCGGAGAGAAACCTCACGTTTGCTCATGGCCAAACTGTCCAAAGCGCTTTGCCCGCTCTGACGAGCTCGGACGACATTTGGCAATGCACAGGAGGCACCTTGAGAAGAACCGTTTCTAAGCTCGCACTATTGCAAACTTCCTCTATACCAAGACAGTTCTTCTGAAAGAATGGCTCTGCTAATGGTTCTGTCTATCTTTTTGAAAGTTTGCTTGTGTGTGTGTGTGAGATTCGACCAACTCCTCCTCAATTCTAATTTCTGCCCAAACTATGTGTTCCTGTACCATATTACTACTGTATCTAGCTTATACTAACTAGACTTAAAGCCACTGGTAATCCAGCTCTAACTATATCCTAATGTATTACTACTGATAATTAACAACTATAGCCTACTAGTACTTACTTGTACCTTAATGAGTGTTAGATTTAACTTAACTTTAATTGTACTTGTACTTATTACTTCTACTTTAAACTATTCATAATTATAATTTTAGTTTTACCTACTAATCTTAACTATAATCATTACTTTTTACTTTATAATAATCATTCTACTTTACTATTATATTATCATAGTTTTATTATACTTCTTTAATTTACCTTTACAATTGTAACTTTATTTTACTTCTTATAATACTTCTATTCACTATTATAGTTATTTTTTTATTACTATTACAATGATGAAAAAAAATTCATTCGACATATTCTTTTGTCTCCATTATGCACTTGTCCTTCGTCTAATAATAACTGTTGTGTATTTGTGTCCTCCTATTCTTATTATTATTATTATTATTATTATTATCATAAATATAATAAAATGAAATAAAATGTGAAATCAACTTGCAATGAAAGCACAAAGCGCTGATTTTAAAATGATTTAATTATCAAGTGGCAATCATCAACATACATCTTTATTGGAATGAGTCAGCTACTACCTCCACTTATGCCTTGTCTAGGTATAACAGCCTGGTTAGTTGCCTGATTTTATCCGCCTTAGATGACGTATTTGTTTTGTGTCTGTCTGTCTTTCTGTCTGTCTGTCTGTCGGGTGTTTATTGCGGTTACTCACTGTTGTGCTTCTCATTCCTTCGTACATTAGTTCTCATAACAGAGCGTGTCTCTGATCTGCCTATTTTAAATAACTCTCATATAACAATAGCAATAATGAACGTATCACTCGTATCATGCACATACTAAGCTACATGTCAGCATCATTCTTAATGAAACAGAATGATCTATCTTCATTGTGTTATAGTTCATTGTCCATGTATCATAAAAGCTTGCTATGCATTTCTCTCTCTCTCCCTCTCCCTCTCTCTCTCTCTCTCTCCCTCTCCCTCTCTCTCTCTCTCTCTCTCTCTCTCTCTCTCTCTCTTAGCAAGCTTGTATTCAAAAGAAAAGTGTATATTCCTATGCATACTGTCTCATTGTGTTAGGAGCATGACAGTGTCATGAGTTGCCCTCAACAGTTTTCCTGAGCCTATTTCTGTCAACACTAGCAAGAGTAGAGAGGGAATTGTCGTGTGTACAGCAGCAAAGGTGATTATATACTATATTCTCTGTGTGTGTGTGTGTGTGTGTGTGTGTCTACCACTATAGTCTTATTGACTATAAGTTTATAATAACATTAAACTTCCTTATTAGCGTCTCTTGTATACACCGAGACTCAATGTTGTGTAGCTATTGGTAGCTATAGTTTGTCACGGGTCAATGGATCTATCACAGAGTGTGTCTGTATGGTACCAGGTTGTTTGTAATTAATTATTTAAATGATCCAGTTGTGTGTGTGTATAGTTTTGTTTAAAAGTCATTTGTCCTTATAAGGGAAAGTTTATCGAGTAACAAGTTGTCCAGATGTACATGATACATTCGAGCAATTACTGGACTATTTGGAGTAATTATAAACAAGAACGGTCTCAGCTTGACATAATCATGACGTCATCCTGTGCTCCAGTTTAAAAATTGAATTCCAGCTAGGATCAACATGGTTTATAGTATAGGATTCCACAGAAATATGATGCGAGCATAATTATACGCTTACAATAGAGTTGTAGTTACTTTTGATCTATAAGTATTGATTTCACCATACACTATTATGGTTAGCTGTGTACCCATACTAATGATGACATGTTGGACCACCACCAGCTCTTCCCTTACTCAATGCTTCAGTGCTTTTGTTTGCAATGAAACTCTGACCTACATGATGATATCACAGTGTCTATCAACTTAACATCATTTATGTATAATACTACATTTTGAAGCTACTATACATAATAGCTTAAGGGGATAGTGATGCTTTTATGATAAAGGCAGACCAAAATATCTTGTTGTAGTTTACATTTCGTATTAACTTTTTGGTAGAATGCCAAAAAAGTACTTTACTATTTAAATAATGGAGCATGATTCAGAGAGCAGTAGCAAGAGCAGCTGCGTCCCAGGATACACGTTAGTGAGTAAGAATGTCGGATCGTAATAGTGCCATTGCTTTACTTGTGTTACAGATGAGTACAGTAATTGGATCATGGTGGTCAATGGCAGCTAGAGTAAGCTTACGTGACTCAAGCCTCTTGAACCATGTCATCAATTTATACTAGAGTAGATACATTAAATACTATATCCATCCAACACTATGCCAGCATGCATTATGAACAAGCATAATACGCATTCCCAACAGTCCATTATATGAAAGCTGTTACTATACACTCATGTATTACTCTACAAACTGTTTCCACAGTAGAATGTCGATAAACAACATCTGTGAGATTGCACAGTCAGCACTGATTAGCACTCTAAAACCACTGGCTTGACTAATAGCGTGAAAATTGAAGACCCATTCTATTTTAGATGTCTTCATTACATTTGGATTTTAGTGAATGTTAATTAGAGAGGAGAGATACTTAAACTTTAATGAAAACATGCCACTACCAGCACACTCCATTTAACAGTCATGCAGTGATTTGAACATGCAGATCTAGTGACACTCCATAAACTAGCATTGTTTTTTGTGGAGTAATAGCCATTTTGCCACTCCTAACCACAAGATCACTGATATCCAGGGAGTGTTCTTTACTACACTCACACACACAGAGCTTGCTGCATGTTGTATACCATAATAATAATAATAATAGTCTTGGTGTTTTCTGGAACTAGGAGCACACACGCATTTGCTTCTAAGGAAATTTGGGTAGATGTAGAGTGCCTGATGCCTAAATATGATAGTCTAATTTGATAACCTTATTTAGTTGTCATGTAACTGGATTATATACAGTATACACACTATCACTTACAGCTTGTCACTAGATCTGCACACAGTTTTATTTCAAAACATTATTATATGTGCATGTATCTATACCAATTTGTATAATTGTATTCTTTGGCATGTAATTGCACAATTTATTTATTAATTAGTGATAGAAGAGCCTCGTTTTGTTCTTGACCACAGAGTGCATGGAATTCCTTTGAAATCATGCCTTTAATAGTTGCACCTGTTCTGTTCAGCTTGTCGTATGCTTATTGCTTGAACAAATTTGCATGACAAAGGTTTAATAGAGCATGATTGTATCATTTGTATGTATCATGTATCAGTCTTTGAACTCAATCGTCCGATAGTTGATTTAGTAACACACGGTTGAGTTGAATTCTGTAGTATACCATGTCACTGTCACATCTCTTCCCACAGTAATTACTAGATCATGTGGTATGAGATGAGAGTTGCTATTGATGCTCACAAACTGGTTTGGAAAACCTGTTTTTCAAGCATAGTATTTAATTTAGGGCTAGTTATAATTATTGTGGTTAGTTAATTTTAATAAGACTCGTGGGCGTGGCTAGCTTGTTGTTATTAATTAACCCTTAGTTTTGGAATGACGATTTCTTCAGCGATCAGTTCCTCGTTTTATTTCTCGATAGAGCCATAGGACCCTTCACCTGTTTGTTTAACGTTTCCTGCTAATAATTCTACACACTATTGGCCATGGAGCTCCGTAGAAAGCACATGGATACCATCAAAGAAGGAAAGATTCTAAACTCAAGTCCCTCTGTAGTTGTACTCAGAACTAAAGTGGATGAAATGATGGCCGCATCTAAGGAAGACACGACTGCTCTTACTAGCAATAGGAAGAGAAACAAGACTGAAGGAGAAGAAGAGGGAGGAGTTTCAGCCACACCCACACTCTGCACTGATGATGATGATGAACTAGGACCACTGCTTCCTTCAACTAAAATGCAGAAATTATCAAGGAGGTTGGGACGAGAGAAGCAGCTCCAAGCAATGAGAAAATTAGAGCAATCAGACAGCAGAAGGGAGAGATATCTCAAGAGACAAAGGATAATGGAGGGAAGAAAGGAGGAGATAGATTATTCTCCACTGGAAGATCAGGACAGATGTGAATTGCAATCGTCGCCGGTAAAGAAACAGGTCAAGTGGAACGAAACTGTGAAATATCATTCGTACACTCCAGAACCAGCTATCACTTGTAATAATAGCTACACTAACTAATAGTTAGCTAATAATAATAGTAATAATTATTGTTTTTTAACACACACTCTCTTGTCATTTTAATATTATCAGTTATTTTCAGGTTATCTGTTTCGTTATATTTTGACAACAACCTTGCCAATGTTGTCGCCTTTAAAGAGAGATACAAAAGCATCGTACATGCTGTCAAATCCTTCAAAAACTGTCTCACGGTATTTCAGTTTACCCTAAAAAATACATTATATTAATTTTGTCAAAAATTGGGACAAAGTCCAAACAGGGACTTTGGCCCAATTTTTGTGAAACTTAAAAAATTTGTATAAAATCAGAATCAGCTCAAACTTTTCAAGTACATGCTTATGATTCATCTTAAGGTAAAGGTACATGATAAAAGTTGCTTTTACTTCTTGTATCCATTGAGCCATTTCCTTAAAAGCTCCCTGCCACTGGTCCAACCATCGCGTTACAATAAATCCTTCAATTTTCAACTGCTTTACTATTAGAGTGATTGAAGACACATCGATGCCTTTAAAAAATAAGAAAACAAATAATAAAGTTAATTATTCATTTAATAATAGCTTCAACCTTTTCTAGGCTCCAAAGCATTATACTGTGAAATAGCTCCACAGACTGACACTCGTCCAAATGTATTCATTTGTCTAAGTACAGTATCAAAGAAATCTCCACCAACCTATATCAAGGACACTTATATACAGTCATTAGTTATTGGTGGCTTACATTATCAAAGAAAGCATCAACTCCATTAGGACAGGATTCTTTAATGGCTGCCTCAAGTGAGGGTATTGTCTTGTAATTATATGCTGCATCAAACCCCAGGCTCTTGAGGTAAGCAACTTTCTCATCAGAGCCGGCAAAACCCACAACTCTCATTCCTTTTATCTTTCCAATTTGACCAACAGCAGATCCAACAGCTCCAGCAGCAGCATTCACTAGTAACGTCTCACCTTCTTTGATGGGCTTGCATATATCAAGCAAACCAAAATAAGACGTTGCACTGCAGATGTACTGATTTACTAATAATATGATGTTTCTCTTACCCTGGCATTCCTAGTATTCCTAGTGCAGTTGATTGAGGGAGTGGTATAGTTGGGTCTAGTTTTATGATCTTCATTAATGATGCAGGTCCATCACAAATGCTGTGACTGGTCCACCCAAATGGACCGAGAACAACGTCGCCAACTGCAAAATTTTTATCCTTCGATTGTGTAACTCTAAAATTATTTTGTTCTAAAAGTGATCGGAGTGATCTAATAATTCATACTTGGCTACTTGTCCTCCTGGCATTGGAGACCCTAACTTATTTGAGAGCTCGTTAGACCTATGAATACAAATTAATGTAACTTTAACATGTCTTTAACACCTCTGTTTATTGCTAAAGTTATCTTTTACCTCATGTATGGATCAACAGTGTTCCAAAGTCCCTCGACAAGAAACTCTACATAACAAGAATTTTCATAATTATTTTACGTCATTATTAATTTACCTCCATCTTTCAAAGCTGGCAGCTCTTTCTCGACTATTTTAAAGTCATCTCTCTTGGGAAGACCCACAAACTCCTTTACTTTGATCCAACTGCGTGCCTTAACGCCCGACATATTTATGTTATTGCTGATATATACGCAAAGGTGAAGGTCATAAATTAAAGCTAGCTACAGAGTACCAGCCACACCTCAACAATGAATAGCTCTATGACTAAATTTAATTTAACCATCTATTATTATCACTTGTATAATAGCTACACTAACTAATAATTAGCTAATAATAAAAAGAGTAAATGCTTGATAATAGTAATAATTATTGTTTTTTAACACACACTCTCTTGTCATTTTAATATTATCAGTTATTCTCAGGTTATCTGTTTCGTTATATTTTGACAACAACCTTGCCAATGTTGTCGCCTTTAAAGAGAGATACAAAAGCATCATACATGCTGTCAAATCCTTCAAAAACTGTCTCACGGTATTTCAGTTTACCCTAAAAAAAGTTATGTTAAATATAATGCAAAAAATTAAGTCAAAGTCCACTTATAGTACAGGGACTTTGGCCCTATTTTGGAGCAAATTTAAAAATTCATAAAAATGCAATTTTGATCGGAACCATCTCAAACTTTCTATGCAACATAACAATGTGAGAATTTTTCCTTTTCAAATTTGGCCAAATTTGGCCCAAGGCCATGTACTATTATAGCCCATGGTTTTTTCCAAAAAATGGTTCCGAAATCACCCCAAATTTTTATTGCATTTTCTGATACATATTGATGTCCTTATGCTATGTAGAAAGTTTGAACTGATTCCAAATTCAATTTTTAAAGTTATGGCCATTCTAAAAAAATGCTGAAATTCTGAAAAAATCCCTGTACTATTGTAGCCCATGGTTTTTTCCAAAAAATGGCCCCAAAATCACCCCCAATTTTTATTACATTTTCTGATACATATTGATGTCCTTATGCCATGTAGAAAGTTTGAACTGATTCTGAATTCAATTTTTAAGTTACGGCCATTTTAGGAAAATGCCGAAATTCTGAAAAAATCCCTGTACTATAGCCCATGGTTTTTTCTGAAAAATGGCTAAAAAATCACCCCCAATTTTTATTACATTTTCTAATACATATTGATGTCCTTATGCTGTGTAGAAAGTTTGAGCTGATTCCGACTTCAATTTTTCAAGTTACGGCCATTTTAAGAAAACGCCAAATTTCTAAAAAGTACCCAAGGCTATAGCCCATGGTTTTTTCCAAAAAATGGCTCCGAAATCACCCCCAATTTTTATTACATTTTCTGATACATATTGATGCACTTATGCTGTGTAGAAAGTTTGAGCTGATTCCGACTTCAATTTTTCAAGTTACGGCCATTTTAAGAAAACATCAAAATTCTGAAAAATACCCAAGGCTATAAGTACAGGGACTTTGGCCTGCAACTTTGAAAATTCATAAAAATCTAATTTTGATTGGAATCAGCTCAAATTTTTTAAGTACATTCTTATGATACATCTT